TTCCCATTAAAGTTAATGAGGATCCTCTAAATTTATGGATCTTCAAAGTTAATTTATATTCTTTACGGGAAAGAGCTGTGATGCATTTTGCGCACTTCATCGATGACCCCGAGCTCATTACAGTTCACGGCTTAAAGAATTGGAATTTAAGACATCTCTGTAGTCTTTGCTCAGATATCAGTCAGATCAGGATCAGCGCAATATTCGTTATAAGATATATGGAAAGCATCCGCGAATACTGTAGGGGAGAGAGAAGTAATATTCACATTTGATGAGGCTAGAGGGTGATGAAAAAAGATGGATCAATTGTACCGTACAGATTCAATTCATGACGTTACTTAACTTCTAAATCTTATTGATATTTTGCATGCCTTTTTTGAAATCCGAGAATCCAACGCACTTTGTATTCTAAAGTTACTTTGCAAGCATGTTTCTTCCTACCGACCCAAAAAATGATTCCTCTTTATTGGCTTTATTCCCCCTCAGCTCTTAAGATGAACCCCCCCCCGTTTTTGACGTTTCCTGCTAAGCGTCTTTTCAACATCTGAACTAGTCTTCCATCCACTTCTCCAATAATATCTACCATTGGTACGGGGCTCTCTCGGGAACTGCACCGTCACCCGCATCGAACATGAATCCCGCATGAATCCCGCATCAACCTCGCGCAACACAACTGTAACCTCAGCCCAGCCCTCAGCCCCCACTCTAATTATTCAACCACATCGCTCATCTTCAGACAGCTGAAAAGATACGATGAAGTAATCGTGTCATGTTGTTTCCACAGAAGCTGTGTAACATAACACTGCATACAATATATTAGTCCGTGACCCCTAATCCTCGTGAGACAGTAGTCCTGGACGCAGGTGACTTGTAGCTTTTTCATATGAAGGATCAAAAGTTCGTGCCTCTGTTGCATATCTAGAATTCCTGTCGTTCCGCCTTTGCCATCTTTTTGGGTGCAAATTGGAGAAAAAGGTATGCTGTTTGATGATTAGGGAGCTTCTCCCGTACAACGACTTTTGGGTAATGAAAATCCGTCCATCTGACCGTGTGAAACCTCGAATCGTACCCGTACTAGGTATTTACAATAGTAAGAGATGTGATTCCTGTTCCCCAGCCTTATCAATACAATCCAAGACTCCTAGCTCGCGTCTGACAGCATCTGGTTCGATGCACCCAAAATCAATGCGTCTTTACTAACCATCATGCCGTTAGAGTGTGGGCGCTCTTTTTAGCCCCACGCAGTACCTAACAAATAGCTGGTCCATAAAGTGAGCATGTTTAATGCCCTTCGGTCTCCTCTTAGCGAATTCATCAATCGCCCCTTGAACTCCATACCCACACCTTTCCACCAGATAACATACAATGAAATATCCAGTTCTGTTGAAGCCATAGTGACAGTGTACCCCCACAAACCACTCACCCTCAGCTCCTCCCTTTTCCTTTCTTGCCGCCTGCTCATCTCTTAGCCGATCAATCAAATTGATGAAGGTGACAACCTCGTCAGATGTGGGTGGAATTTTAGATACCGTCGGGAATTTGTGGTATCGTATTCCGCCCCTTTCAAGACCTCGTGGATCGTACACCGGACTTTCGTGGCTAATATCCACAATATCCTTGATCTGCTCGCCCCAATCTTTCACAAACACCTCTGGACAATGACTATCATCTACCTCTCTCAAAGTTTTCATGGCACGAAATACGCCCGCGATAGGCTCTGAAACAGGCGCCACTGCTTGCCACTTTGCCAAATTCTTCACATCCCATTTGCCGGAAGTAGAGAGGAATTGTAGTTGCCAACCCAAGGATAAACGAGGTGAAACTTGGGTACAAAGAAAATCGGATATAAGACCTGCAAGGGTTCTCACAGTGGCTGGCATGTAGAGCAAAGCATGCGAAGCGGGGGCTGGAATGATTGTCGTTTTCAGGACCCGCTTCGGTCTGAGAGGTTGCGGAGGGATGTTTTCAATTCTTTCAGTATCATCCGGTGTTGATGGGTCTTCCAGCGATTCCACAGCGGTATCGGGGATTCCTTCGAGAAGCAGGTTTTCAGTTGAGGGATTGGTACCATTGCTTATAGATTTGTTCTTCCCAGACATATCAACAGGCGCAGCTGCATCAAGTATAGGCTCACTTTTGTCGTTGGGGTCAATTTGGACCGGGTGAGACTTTCCAAGAAATTGGGCGATCTTTTCAATCTCCCCAGGCTTTGTGATATTATCAGCTGCCCCAGCAACAAGGAAGACAGGCATATCCAGCCCCTTCCAGACATCTCTGCCCGCAAGTCCACCTTTCGCAATGTGGTTTTCATAAACGGGCAAAGTACCAGCTGCCATTCTCCTCCATACTGCGGTTTTGCTCTGGCTATTGAATCGTTCTTGAAGCCTTTTGGTTTCCTCATCTGCTGAAGGGCCAACAAATCTATGCACACTTGCACTCTCAGGGCCACCCCGGCGATCCCAGTTTCGCCAAAGATCAAAAATGAGATTCGGGACCAAAAGTAGCTTCTTAAACTTGGTAACCTCGTCTTCACTAGGGGGTTCCGCGCGAGGGCAGATTGCCTAAATTTTTAATTAGTAAGCAACAATATACCTTACAAATGATTTGATTCCTTACAACAAGGCCCATGACGTTCTCTGATAGCGCAATTGATTGTGGCGACGTTGTAGATGCAAGTAAGGCGGCTATAGAGCAACCCAAGCTATGTCCAATCAAAACTACACCCTGCTTCGTATCCTTCTCTCTATAGTCCTCAATAACCTTCCCCACAAGCTCTGCAAGAGCGTCCACAGTATAAGCATCCCAAGATAATTTTGGGTCGAATGCAGAAAGGCCGCAGCCTGGTAGGTCGATTGAAAGACATGATGCCAAATTCACAAGGCTTGTTAATAAAGGGTTGAATTGCGTAACTGAACCTCCCAGACCATGGATGAAAACTAGTAGAGGTAGCGGGGCAGGTTTTGTAGGTAGCTTGTCTGCTTGAGCATGTCTGCTGAAGAAAACTCGCAATGAAGAATATGTGAAACGACTTGTGGTGTAGGATTTTATCTCAGAATGTTTTTTTAAAAGTCCTGGGTCGACAACTTCGGAATCTACAAATCCAATGAATCAGTAATCTTGCCCAGCAATTCCATTCTTTGCGGAAAGAGTGAGCGTTGCGACAGAGCTCACCATTGATATCTATACTCTGTTTAGGAATGGTTCCATGTGCACTCCCATTGAGCGATTTCGTGTCATTGTAAGCCTTGCTCTTCCTTCCATTTCGCAGATACCAGAAAGCAGGAAATACACTACACAGAAGAGCAATTTGCACCATATCCCGACCGCTCAACTTTCCCTGTATTGTATTGGTATAGACTCGGCTTGCACTGGCTACAACAGCCTGTATTGGTAAGATTAGTTTGCTAGAAGAGTCTAACAACGGCGAAACGCTGTTACCTGGTAAAGCAAGAATGAGAGGAAAAAATGAACATAACGATAGCGATAGCAGCAACAAGAAAGCTGCCATTCTTGTATTAACCCCCAAATATGTTTTGGGGTCAGACAAAAAAGCAAAGTCCTATCGGGGATTTACTTTCGGGGTGTAGTCAAAGTACTCATAGCCAATAACGTTGTCACGCTGCTCTGTGGAAGCTGTACTCGAATGAGTGATCGATGCTCCTATCTCGGGCAGTAGAGGGGAATTGGATTATGGCAGATGAGACAGACAGGAACGTGGCTCTTCTCGGGAGACGGTGTCTAACAATCCGTTGCTGACTCTGGCGGGATCTCCTTAATTTTTCTAGTGCTCCTAACAAGGTTTTTTAATGTGTGTATTTTGTACTGTTGGTGTACACATTTTTCTCAAGGCTTGCGGTTATTTTGTGCGATTGCGATTAGAGATTACGTGACTCACCCAGTATTATGGATAGGTATGGATTGATTGATTGACGATTTGATATGGAGCTTGGTGGCCCTTCCCCATTGAATTCTCTTTTTGGGGCTCGTGTTAAAATCCTTTGTCTCCATTGGCCAAATCCCTTCACTTGTGGATTCCAGCTACTTGCTCTGCGAGTACCGTACTTACGTCGTGCGGAGTATGAGTATGCTGCTCAAATTACCAGCTTACACGAAAAATATGTCGAACAACACAAAGATCTCATTTGGTGTCTCACACAATGAAATCCTATTGATGAGTACTAGGTATGTACATTCCGATCGAGTATCTACTTCGTGTTAGTATTAGTATATATCACGGACTGCATTACAAATATATTGAATTGGAATGGCGGCGATCACAACGTCAACTTCCATTCTTTAAAATACGCGTGGTCGTTCAGTAGGTGTATGTTAAAGCGAAGCGAAAAGACCCTCCACGCTAGTGAGCCAAAGGAACATCATCAAGAGGAGGTTGTGGATGCAACTAGCACGAATTATAGCAGATCAGTGTATGTAGGTTGTTTACCAGTAGTCCATCACTTCTCCCTTTGAGTCCGGGATGTTTGCGAGTACAACTACATATGCATGCAAGCCAGAAAGGACTTGGCACCCAGCCTGAATGAAGGCTATCTACCGCGCCTCTGAGTATACTCTTTGATTATAAGCCAACTCGATACTCTAAAATCATAAGAAGGAGGTCAAATCAGAATGGATGGTCTCAGATCGTCCTCTGTTGGCCGTCTCGACGAATTACAATCAACCTTCACGAATCAGCTCGAATTATCAAATATCCGGTTCAATATTTTACAAACAAAGCAAAATGATGGATAACGCATGGGATTCCTTACATTTTGCAAATAATTCATCTTTTGATTATAGTTCCTGCATTCGGGGAAAGATAACGGGCTGAGACAATCGACGCTAACATCTACTGTAACAGGCGATATCTGGTACCTTGGACAGCCGCGTCTTCATCTAAACCAACGGACTTAGATGTATTGTACATATATATACATATATAAAAAGTCTAGTATACATTAAGTACCTTGATATTTGACAAAGAATCAAGATTGAATCAACGTTCAATTGAGGTTATTGGACAGCTTGAATGGAATAGGGGTGGCGTTCTTCTCTGAGCGATGTTTGCTAGATTTGGAAGGTGGTGTGTATTGATAGTTTTTTATCTTTAACAATGGTGATGGCTCGGGAGTGGTCAAGTCAATGCTCCTGGAACTGACTTGCTTTGATGATGATGATGAGCTATGAGTTGCAGCTTTGCTCAGGTTTCGTTTACGTGAGCTCTGGGCATATCTCGAAGGGGTGAAAGGCTCTGCTGCCTTCAATCTATTTGAGGATAAACCTCTTGCATGTCTTGTCGGGGGCGTTATTTCCGGGGTAGGTAAAACATCTGCAGGTCTTTCAGGTGAAGCTGTTCTCGAACTTCTCAAGCTCATGGAATCTAAATCATCAGATGCTGTGTAAATATATGTTCCGGCGGGTGAAGATATGGATGGCATATTGCGATTGCTTGGCAAGTTGCGATCTACAGGCTTGGAAAGTAAACTGCTTTTTGCCTGCTGAAACTCCGCTATTGCTCGTGATCGCTCAGAAGGTACAGCATGGCCGTGCAGCCTGCCACTCTTCACTGACGTAGAGTAGTGGTCCACTACTGTACCTCGTGGTGGAGGCACTTTGACGTGTTTTGTCGAATTCAAAGGCAGGCTAGATTTCGTGGACTTCATATCCACTTTTGTGCTTCGTTGTTTAGTTGAAGGCAAGTGCGTGTTGCTAGCAAGATCTTTCTGCACGTTGTGGATGGGGGTTGGCCTCCTCGAATGAAGGGTAAATAAGTTAGACTTCGATTTGTTGACTTGATCGACAGTTCGAGAGTGACTGTATGATCTTTTGGCCTTTGGTTGCAAATCATTGGAATGGAAGATGGATGATTCATCAACATATTCGTCATCATAATCGTCCAACAATCTCTTCCGCTTCCCTTCAGATTTGCTTTTCCGAGATGGGGAAGCCTCCGGTATGCTGTCGTCTACCGTCTTCTCTGACCTATTTGTCTTGGACATTGAGTATTTCGTTATTTGAGATTGCCCATTTTGTGCAGTATGCTTTCCCCGGAGCTGCTTTTTCCCATCCACCTTCACCCACTCTGCTTCCACAAAAGTTTTTGCAGCAATTATTTCGAATTCGATGCCCGTCGAATCCCTCAATATACTAGCAAAGTTTCTGCAACCCTCACAGGGGTCTTTATCGATGTAGATTTGTGCCCGGAGCGGCGGTCTTAATTTCCAAAGTTCTTCTAATCTATACATCGCTATATCGCCAGTCTCCGCGTCGTAGATCAAATCCAGTACGAGCATCAGTATGAGCTTCTTCTCGACGTGGCAAGCTGCGTATCTTCCGATTTCAGTCTTGTCCCAGCAATTCCTTCGAAGTTTAAAGCCTAAATAATTGCAAAATTGCAATACTTGCTGTAGAATCGATAGATTAGCACCGCTTTGTATGGAAGAAAAAGGGCATTGTCTGCGATCTAGCTTTACAACTAGAACATGAATAGCTGCCCTAACAGAACCTGGGAAACTTACGGCTGAGCAAAATTCGTTGTCCCGTAACGAATCGTCATGCTCTCTCCTTCCCCAGCCACTTGCTGCTTTAAATTTTACCTCTTCACCTTTGAGACGGATGATTCCAAAGGTTTTGCCTGTACCGTTACTTCTGTAAGTAGCTATGGGCTCTGTAAATACAACTCTGTTTCCTTTTCTCTTAATATATACCTCATCACTATTAACACGCCCCGCCGGAGAAAGGGATGTGACTGAGTTTTCTTCAAAGTATCTTGCCATGGACTTGCACGTCCTTTTCAAAGCCGAAATGTGTTGCAATGATGGAGGTCTCTCAGGAATGTTATATGCCAAGCCATCTGCTAGCTTTGGCATCAACGTGCTCTGTCTCAACGTATGTCCATTTTGTCCTGAAGATTGGTTCGGTGTCGCCGAATATTCGATCAAGTGCCTGGTGCTTGTACCTGTGCTGGCAGTCGTTTTGGCAGTAGTCCGCACGACTCCAATGATAGGTTTTGGCAAACCATAAGAGTCAAAGATTCCACTTCCCTTGCGATTGCGAGGCATATCTATCGTTCATTCAATATGAAAGTAATTGAAAAGATAGAAGGTTGGATATTGAGAAGTAAGGAAAGCTGAAAGTTCACAATTTGTGCGAGGCTTGAGGGGAAAAAGTAAAGTTGTGGCAAAGATAACCGATCTTGACATTGAATGTAATAGGTCACATTGGAGCTCTCCGCCGACGCCCGAGGCAGTGAGCCTGGAGGTGCAATTTCCTGTAATAACATCAAAGCCCTGGAAAAATTATGCTCATTTGACTCCTCTCAGGGAGTGAGGCTGCCTTACTTGAGACAAATTCATAATCAACTTTACTCGCCAAAAGTAATTTGGATCAATATGGTTGTGCCTCGACAGTTAAAGTAGATGCTTCAATATCAAATCTTTCATTGTCCTGCGGAATCTTACACATTGGAATCATAGTCGTAGATCAGACTAAAGTGGGAGATTCATTGTGAAAATCTGCCAGCAACATCTAAAGGGCGCGGTCGCGAGAATTACAATAAGTGCTCAACACTAGGTGTGTAGCTCTACGCCCATACGCCAATATGGTGTTTCGCGGTATTCAATATTTCCACCATATCATATTTTGTTCCTTGCATGAAATGCCTCTTTGAGCTCAAAATAACAAGTTTTTTGAGACCTTTCGAAATTGGAAAAGAAAATCAAGGAGTTTTATTGATCTCTTGCGTGTGTGTCTCATTTCAAACGACAGCTGAGGATGAGCTCAATATTATATAGATAAACCCTTTGTGGAGCTCTTTCATGAGCTGTCCGCGCCTTTCGTTGTCAGTCATTTCCTGATCTTTAAACGTTGAAGTTTGACATCATGTTCGTTTCCCCAGGACTTTTTCTTGTTGCGCTTTCTATCTTTGAATCTACCGCTGCTTACGAATTTGGCAAAAGACAAGCGACTTTATCTCTATGTCCCACTCAGGAGACTATTACAGTAACTGCCTCAGAATGTCCAATTTTATCTTCTTCGGCACCTCCCAGCAGTGGTGTATATTCGACTCCCGGCTTCACATCCGCCTCCACTAGCTCCGAGATTCTGGCCAGTACATCAGCAACCAGTAGTGCAGCTGCTACTTACACAAGTCCTAGTCCTGCCTCTTCAATTGAATCTTCAACGCTCGCATCGTCATTCTTGGGAACCATTTCTTCTACCGAAAGCTTGGTATTTTCGTCATTCTCTTCTGAACCTTCGCTTCCATCAACCAGTCTTGTTATTCCTGTAACTACATTGGAGTCTTCTTCGATAATTACGGAAGGATCCACTTCAATTCCAGCCTATACTTCGAGTAGTGCTGTTATTTCAGAACCTTCTTCTTCTTCTTCTTCGGTAATCCAGACCTCAGTTGAATCTTCCGCGGTAGTCTCAGAAGTCTCTACGGAAGCCTCCTCAGTCTATGTCACGCCCACAGTATCGAACAGCATATCTGTATCGTCTGTGCCAGTTTCCTCTGAAACGACAAGCGTTCCGGAGCTATCGACGTCAATTTTGGAACCAAGCAGTGTTATTCAGAGCGAAAGCTCTGTATTTACCTCCCTCACGTCCGCTGAACCTAGCACTTCAATTGAATTTTCCTCAGCTTCGAGCTTAATTCCCAGTACCGCAGTTTCCACCACATACACTTTGCTACCCTCTTCCTCATTCGTAACTTCAGCACTTCCTTCTTCTGCAGTCACATCGACAAGCATATACACAGTAACCTCTTCCACACCTCTACCCTCCATTTCATCTATCACAATAACCACAACCGTCATTAGTACAGTTGGAGGCCAAACCACGACCGTCTTATCAACATTTACACAAGCCACTACTGTTGCAACGACTATCATAACCACAGTCCAAGTACCAACTACCGTGGTTAGCCTTGGAACCACGACTGTTATACAATTTACCACTGTGTCACCTCCAGCCTGCACTATCCATCCTACTTTGATCAATGGTGGATTCGAAAATGGAAATGGTATCGAGCCTTTTGAAGCAGTGGCTACGGGACCCAATGCGCCTAGTTATACCACTGCGGCCGTTCCTCATAGCGGGTCTACCAGTTTGTAAGTTTCTCCTCATCCCCAAACAAGATAGATACATGGTACTAATCTTTAAACTTCCTTTCCCAGAGAGTTACTTTTCTTCCCATCATCCTCAGCCACCTCATACATAACTCTAACCCAAACCATATCCGCTTGTCCCTCGTACAACTATCTCCTTACCGGCTACGTGAAAGCAAGTAATAACCTCAGCATCAACCCATCATCCAATTGCTACATCTATCGTAAGTCATCCTTTACATTCCGTTCCCTCACTTTCTTCCCAAACAAATCACTAACCCTCTCTTTAGTTCAAACCCCCACGCAATCCTCCCTCACCACTCTCATCAACTCCTCCACTTACCCTGGCTGGAGCATGATCTATCTCTTCTTCACTGCTCCCGGAAGCGTTGGAGATGGAGTGCAGAGTGTACCTTTGACAGTGCATTCTTACTGTGATAGCGGGGCTACCGATTCACCGGGATTGTACGTGGATGATCTCGTTGTTAGCGGGTAATGGTCTGAAGGTAGTGAGAAAAATGCGAGATGAGAAATGGTGGTTGGTTTGAGATGGAGGTAGAAGAATGAGAAGTGGGAGACAGAGACTGGAAAAATCTTTTCTTTTGGTTTGTTGTTTAATTATTGTATTGGTGCGTGATTTAGAGGTTGTATTAGTGTGAAAGGGAGCGTGTAAGGTTAGTGACAGATTGTTGGATTAGTGGGTAGCTGTTATATGCATTAATAGATAGTTGAAATTAAAGATTGGTCATTCTTTGAAATGAGTTGAACCCTTTTTTTTTCTCGAACAAAGCACTCACTAGGTGACGAGACATTGTGTAAACTTTATATGCCATAATTGTAATTAGGTCTTTATAGTACCTATTCTGTATCAAGCATCTACATGCCCATTTCATGTAAAACCCCGCCACGCTTGACAATTCTCATAAGGAGAAACGCGATTTATCAATGCGGAAAGCAAACAGAAACTTTGAAGTGAGAAGTAACAAACTTCCGCAACAGTGAACCATAAAGTATCACTCAGCCTTTCGATTGCTCACTCTCTGTCTTCTCACAAATCAGCAATTTTCTACCAACTCCCGCGGCCCAGACCAACTGGTAACAACTAACTCCCCATCCCCAATCAATTTCTCGCCGGCCTATTCCAGGTACCCTCTCAATTCTTGATGACTCTAGAGAAATTGCCAGTAAACTATTTATAACTTCCGCACTTTCACGCAGGCTAGTAGGGGTTTCTTGGCTGTATATGCCTCTACAACATTTGGAGGGAAGCTTGGTTTCGAAAGTTTTGATACTGAACGTTGTGAGCTGGGATAGAGGGGCAGGGATCAGAGAATAAGGGTTGGTATCTAGGGTGCTCTGCTTGGTCTCGACAGCGAGAGAGTTCTCGAGAGAGCGGAGGATAATTGCAAGGACCGTGGTAGTAGGGAGGGTGACGACTTGGTTGAATTTGCTTTCGAAAGTCCGGGTATTGTGGCTCAGAATGTAAGAGAGGGAGGCTAGGTTTGCAGCGTAATTCAGATTCTATAATATATTAATTGGCTGGTTGGAGAGAAAATGGGATGAGAAATAGACATACGCAGCTGAGAACATCGAATGTAGGAGCAAAATGTTCGTTCCATCGCTGAGTATCATCAACGTACTGTGTGCCAAGGTAATCGGTGCTGTGGATGTCACATTGTTAGCATTAAATGTGAAGGGGTGTAAATTCAAAAGGCACGGTATGACATCTCGAATTAGAAAGGTGGATTCAGGACAATTTAGATATCGAATGTCTCTCGGTCTGGCATAGCCAAGATAGGCCCTCGACTTTGAGATTGGATTGAGAAGGGAAGAGAACTAACCTTAAGATGATATCAACACTGTGAATATTATCCAACATTATTGGAGATAATTTAGAGAGAGAAGGATAACGGTAAACCCAGCCACGTAGAGGGAGGTTATAACAACTATTGCCGATGTTGGGATGAAAGCCAAGCTCTTTTTCTTGCAAGTAAACCCACGCCATATACTCAAAACTGCTCTTCGAACTATCGGTCACCCACTCCGTGATCTCCTCGGGTGGATCGGCAACTTGAACTTCGGGAGGAAAACTATAGACATGGCTCCATGTAATGCTAGGACGAAGTTCAATTGTACATTGCTTAATCCTCAAAGCAAAGAACTCTCGATAGAGCTTCTGAACAGGGATCAAAGCGATTTCAAAGGCAGGAAGATCTTTGAGAGCTAATCCTGTATTTCCTGATATATTGATCTTTTTACAGGGTCCCATGATCCAGTTTTGATAGACCAGCACCGAACGTCTAGGGAACTCTGCAAAATAATCCTCGAGAATAACACGGAAGATCTGCTCCCTGACTTCGGGTGGAATAATATTGAGGTTGCATGTCTTGTTGATCTTCTTTCGCTTCTCGCCGATTGATTTGGTTCTGAGCTCTGTGTGGACGCGAAGTGCGTCTTCAGATGGTGGCATGAGTTTCGACCTTGACTTGTAAGAGGAGATAATATCAACAAAGAAGTTTGGCGGCGTAATTTTTGACTATAAGATGATGAGTTTTGGATATCAATCATTTGTAATCTGGTGTTTGCAAAACTTACAAGATGTATAAAATCTGCCTGTCCCCAAGGTTCAAACTTCTTGCAAACATCAAGATATCGTTGTTGAGCCTCCTCCTGAAGTCTTCCTGTCAGTTCCTCGCGTGGTTGAACGTCCAATCCATCAATGAGTTTCTGAAATGAATCCACGTCAACCCGAAACAAACCTCGGTGGTTCATTATGTTAGCTTTAAAAGTTGTCGATCTGAAGAGTTGGAGACTGTGAAAGGACCAGAGGGAGGGAAGAAGTCAAGGTGTAGGGACTGGGCCGCTTGAGATTACTAGGTCGGTGTGATATCCGAAGTTGTTGGGTGACAATTCTGAAAGTGAATCTCGCTTCAGCTGGTCTCAAGGTGAATTCACTCGCTCTTCAACCCTGGTTTTGAGAAATACTATGTAGCTGGCGACGTTCTCTAGCTTCTTCAATGATTGAATGTGAGTTTTCCAAGTCGTGACGAGGATAGTTCTACGTAACTTGACTACACCGATACCTCATGAACGCGATCAGATCGCATCTTAAAAGAAGCCCTGGCATCAGGATATCTCCCAATTCAGATCTGACAATCTAATAACCCTTCAATTTTTTGTGATTCGAAGGACTTGGCCTCAACGGGTATGTCATGACACTCATGCTTTCCTCCCAGCAGGCAAGGAGATCGTTTTCTATCGGAACGCATTCAATGAGTTTAGAGACGTGTTATATATCATGTTTCGAAAATATCAAGAATTAGGTGTAGACAACTATTTTTCATTGCGGCATGTAACTTTATTGCACTAAAGAATGTAGATGGTATATCGAAATAAATTTCCATGAAAGAATCATTATTAAAAAGACTTTTACCAGTACTACCTATGTATCTCTTTGTGTTGCAATATCGTTTCTAATATCATATTCGAGATCCTTATAAAATGTAGTGTGAAGTGTGAAGTGTGAAGTGTAAATTAATAAATGTGAAGTGTGAAATATGACGTGGCTGATCTTGAGGCTCTCTCTCCGCTCTGTTTGGAGGATGATCCGTGATTGTTCATACTGTAACCCCCGCCCCGCCGCTTGCTCGCTGTCAACCTGTCACATTGCGAGTTTGCATTAACACCCGTTCTTGCAATCCAAAGTTGTTCTCATGGAGAACAACTTCAACAATGACCAAATATGAAGAAGACTATACTTCTTTGCTTTATTCACGGGTAAGAAAGATATGTTGACATTCTTTTTAAGATCGCACAGACTAATCCCCGAGCCAGCTTTAAAGGAGGAGATGATACTTTTGGATCCTTTCCTGAACACCTTCGAGCTCTCGTAAGCCATGGTCTCCCAAAAGTTAAGGTTCGCGCGATCACATATCCACAATACGAAACTCGAGGAGATCTGGGAGAATGTGTGAGCAGATTCAGAGATTGGTATTGTTACACCTTGAATTAACATTGAAACCTAAAGCTAATTGATTTTGCACAGGCTTCAAGAAAAGGTAATCGATATTGAAGTCCAAAATGGAACACCTTCCCCAACCGTCGACCCTTCTGTCCGCACGATACTTATTGGTCATTCTATGGGAGGAATTGTCGCTGCTGATACGGCACTGGCAATCACATCCGATAAGGTGATAGATTCGAAAGAAACTACAGATGCAATAAATGCTTTTATGTTCCCATACATTCAGGGTGTTCTTGCATTCGATACTCCTTACTTAGGCATATCACCAGGTGTAGTTGCGCACGGTGCTGAAGGTCATTACAATGCAGCTACATCAGCTTTCGCGCAAGTGAGTAGTCTGGCAGGTGCACTATGGGGCGAGAAGGAGGTAGACAAAACGGTAGAGGAAAAGAAACCAGTTGCGGCATTACCAGCACCACCGCCTCCAGAAGCACCTGCCTGGAAGAAATGGGGAACGTTAGCAATGTATGCTGGAGCAGCAGGCGCTATTGCTGCTGGAGGTGCAGCTGCGTACTTCAAAAAGGATCAGATTCAGGAAGGGTGGTCATGGGTAGGATCACATCTTGAGTTTGTGGGATGCTTAATGAAGGGCGAAGAGTTGAAGAAGAGGGTAGCTGGGATGGTTACTTTACGGAAGGAATTAGAGGTCGGTTGGGCAAATTTGTATACAAGGCTGGGCAAAGAGGCAGTGAGCAAAGCTGATGGGAGCTTGGTGGGGAGTGTCATTGGAAATCAAAGGACATTCTGCAACCTACCAAAAACTAGCGCCAAGGATTTCTTTCGAGAGGCCATCAATGACAAGGCCGCTGATGAGACAAGTGCCCATATGAGTGAGTTTCCACGAAGATTTGAAGTTTTAGGGGGCTAACAATCTCCCAGCTATGTTCTTTCCGAAAGACAACCCAGGATATTATACTTTATCTGAGGATGCAAAGAAACTGATAGTGGAGTGGTCGACTAATGAGTGGTACGAATCAAGTACAAGGGAACGCTCTATGAGCACAAGAGAACGGTCTACACCCACAAGAGAGCGTTCTATAAGCACACGAGAACGGTCTACACCCACAAGAGAGCGTTCTATAAGCACAAGAGAACACTCTACAAGTACAAGAGAACGCCCTACACCCACAAGAGAACGCTCCTCAATCACAAGAGAGCCTTCTACAAATACAGGAGAACGGCCTACAATCACCAGAGAACGTTCCACTAAGGTCGAGCACGAATTACGATAATAGCAATATGTTTGGAGTTTGATTTTGAACGAAAACGAGAGAGCCGGCGTTGTTGGATGAAGGATACATGGACGGCAAATAGACAGGTTACCAGAGCGATATAGAAGGACTGCACTACCTTTCCAGAATGAATTGAAGCTCATGCAATATATGTTCCCGATGTATCATGACTCGACTTTGTTATGCACTGTCACTAGATTACATCATTATCACACCTATTGCGGGGTTGAAGGGTGTTTACATCCGTGATAGTCGGGAAAATGTTGATCTGGCGGCACAATTGATGAAGCTTTTGAGATCAAATACATTGGCATGAGCCGCTAGGCTTATTTTGTGCATATTCTGTGAACACATACTGTGTTTAATCGGATATTTTCCTTGGCCTGTCATGATTAATGCATCAAAACTCTCACGGTCTATAATGTGATCTCCGCATATACAACGAGGACTACCTAGTAATTACAGTCTAAGGTTTCAAGTGTCATTGTTGCTTGCGATTTTGCAAGCGGGATTGTCTCTTTCGTGAGAATTCATTATTACACGTAGGTGAATAAAAATCCGTCTGGACAGTGAGCTCTGAGCCCAAATTTATAAGTTGAAGAGCGCCAAGTGATTTTTAATTAATTCTTTTGATTTCGATTATTCCGGAATATAATCCTATTTACAGCGTATTTCGCATTTGTTCATTCGTTATTCATATCATATCCCATCCATAATTTACAACAAGAAAGCAGCGAAGCTTGCAACACCGATACTTCCAACCCACATTAAGGATCCCATAGCACCGTAGGCCATAGGTGCGACAGCCAAAGCTCCAGCCGCGCTGGAACTGGTTGCAGCAGCTGTGCCGGAGGTTCCACTTGCGGAAGCGGTTGCGGTTGCGGTCGCGGAAGCTGGGAGGCTGGAAAGGGCTGCATCAGCAGCATAGCTTGCCGACACACCGGTTGCGTTCTTGCATGAAGTAGGAGCAGCGGTTGCCGATCCGGTAACGAAAGATACGGCGGCGCATTGGTAGAGGAGTCCTGGAGAAAGGAATACAGTTAGTTTGTGGAAGAGATGAGAGATCTGGGACTTGGCTAGAAGAGTGTGCATACCGTCTGGACCATCAGCAACAACATTTATGACACCTTGGCTTCCAGCGAATGTGGATGGAACAGTGATTGTTGGTTCGCAGAAAGCACCGAGACCAGTTTGTTGGACCGATGGGATAAGGGTTGTCCAATTGGCTGCAGCGGTATCATTTCCAAGCATAGCTCTGAACAACCATGTTGTAGTGGGGTGGGTAGAGGTCCTATTTTCAGTTATGTTAAAATTGTTCTTGGTACAGATGCATGGTACGCAATTGTTTGAAGAGGCGACTAACATTGCAATTGAGTCTCCATCTACGTGGAAGTCGGTAACATTATTATCAAAACCAACGGTAAAGCCACCACAAGGAGCACTTCCTTCTGCATCATCGTCGAAACCATCTGAAAAAATGTTAGCTTTCTCTTTCTCTTGTGGAGTCAATGTTCGAACTTGGGGAGCTTACAGGTTGGAGGGTAGTTCAAGAGAAAATGGGCAGAGCACTGGGAGACCACGGTAGCAAGACCGAGAAGGGCTGTTAAACGTGCCATTGTGTGAAAGTTCTCTTTGTCTTTGTTGATATTGGAGGATTTGGGATTATTCGAAGGAGGTAGAAGTAAGAAATGAAATCCTTTGAGGCTCAAAAAAAAGATACAAATCGAAAGCTTAATTCACAATTGACCAAATTCCTGGGGATGAGCAAGTTATTTAATCTTCTCTCGAGTACCCTGTTGGATATCAAAAAAAGTGCTCAAATTCCGTATCGAGCCATTATGTGTGTAAGAGGACCATGCTCGGGCCATGGATGCCAAAGGAATATCTTGCTCATCTTTAATTATTTTGAATGGACCCCTTGCCAAGAAGAGGTAAGAAACATATGTGTGCGGTATGTGGCTAAAAGGTATCTAGTATCTACCTAGGTATCTCCCCGTGAGCATGCCACTATTCGAATTCCGGATAGGAAGATTTCTTCGGGTAGTTACTTCCTAATTCTTCCAATGTTTCGGATGGTTTCTGATGTTCCTTTGCGTGTTCGGCCCAGTAGGGATTATTTGCATCAGACATCAGAGAGTCAGAGACACTAGATAAATCGATCATTCCAGACATAGTTACACAGTCTCGAGATAGTATCGTATCCTGCTCATTGTCCATGCTCACTCAAGCTACGCTGCTCAACAATGATTAATTACCCAAGTAGTATATAACCTTACCCGTTTCCTAAACCTTATCGTAAACTCACAATATTCATGCCCCTCCTTCCCATCCTCAATCGTCCGCCCTTTCACGATTCCGTTTCCCCATAAAATTACAGCTCACAGCCTCGGAAAGGTTTCAATACCCCAATATCCCATTCCATCTGCAAACATCATTGGTCGAGCAAGTTTTCTGGTTCCTTCCTCATACACTCTATCGATATAATCCAAAGTGGCCCGTCCCTTCTTCAATGAGCAAGATACGGTAAACGAGCGCAATTGAGCACATTTCAAGCCACTTGGCAAGGATCATAGCCGAGTTTAGTCGCTTGGCATACACATGTTTTTGGTCCTCTGTTGATAATTAGTAAATGCTTGATTGAACTTATTTGATTTGGATTTTGCTTCTTGATTTTGAATGACGGTGAAAGATTGACTGGATTCTCTCTTTGAGTATATTCAATTACGATTTAATCTTGAGGAATTGGGCTTGATTGTGATTGATTGATCACGGAAGTGAGGGAAGGAAAGATTTGTGACGTTTGTGCATAGTTGCATTATAATTCAACAAACGAGACTTCTTATCGATCAAAGAAAGAAAAGCAGAAATACAACACCCAGGATTGGTTGATAGCGAAAAAGGTTGTCGGGAACATCGAAATTTACTAAAGTGATCCGGGCTTTCAGATTCGATTACGATAAGTGGGGAAATCATTCATCAACATATTCTCGTCTTGCCTCATCATTTGGAAAGGGGAGAGGTCGGCTTTCTTCAAGGAGATCATTTCCGCTGGCTCGGAAGCCGGGAAGGCTGCGACGTTGAAGAAGGAGAGGAAGAGAAGACGATTACGACTTACGAATTTTCTGGTGGAGGCCGATATATCTAGGACAAGATGGACGCACTTATGAGTGGGATGAGTGGCGGGATGGATATGGGTTCGAATATGATGTTTAGACCTTATAATCAGAAGTTGGCGTTGGGATATTGGTATATCATTGCCGGGTTTGTGGGTGCGGTGTTGCTGTGTAGGGGGTTTGAGAGGTGGAGGGATTGGGATAGGTTAGTGGATTTTCATCTTCTTCTTTGCAGTTGTGGGAGGAGTTTGTTATTGGTGATTTGAGAAAATGATTGCGGGTGTCTCTTGTTTGGAAAGTCGACCTAGGAGATAGATCGATCATCTTTTTCCGTTGTGATGGGAGGGATGTGCGCACTCAGAGGGATATAGAGTATCCACACCCCAAACGAACTCGCGCCGAAGGGGGATCCAAAAAGCGCTTTGGAAAAGATTCCAGAGCATGAGTAGCATGAGCACGAGCAAGAAGAGTGACCATGAAAGATTATAGATCGCTAACAAATTCTAACAGACTTCGGAGAAGCAAAATAATTTCTCTAAAATATCCCACCAAACCTAGTAACCGAATCCAAGAGATATACGCAACAGCCACAGCCATTTTTCGAGAATCATCATATCCTCAAATCCATATTTCAACTCCTTATCTCTCATGGTTATCTCCTCCCTCGTCAGGCCGCACTATTCTTCTTCTTTGCTACTGGGCAATCTTGATCTTCATGATGACATACGACGTCACAATAAAAGATGCCTACTACTATGAACGCATTGGATTTCGGGGCGCCTGGATTTCAGTTACACAAGTTCCGCTTATTTATCTACTTTCTTCCAAGTCGAACATTATTGGAGCCTTGATTGGAAGTTCTCATGAAAGATTGAACTGGTTTCATCGTTGGGTTTCGAGGACCTTACTCCTCACTGTCACGGTTCATGGTGCCTTCTTCTTTCGAGAGTGGGTCCGAGCAGACTTTGTCGCCTTTGAGCTTAAACTTATGCCAATGGTAAAATATGGTATGGGCGCATGGGGTATATTGCTTTGGACCTTCTTAAGCTCCTTGAGTCCTTTGAGAAGGATGGCCTATGAAGTCTTCGTGTTGCAACATATTGCTTGCGCGGCAGTATTCTTGTGGCTGCTATACATTCACGTACCTGAATACGCTAGGTATAATGTATGGTTTGCTGTGGCGGCTATGTCATTCGACTGGGTTTTAAGAGGCATCCTACTTGTTGTCAGGAATTTCAGAGTGAAGGTTGTCGGAGCAGCTTGCAGAGGAATGCAAAGAGTTGGCCATCAAGCGGAGTTACAGGCTTTGAGTGATGATATAACCATAATCAGTATCAAGGACGCACCATTCACATGGAAAGCAGGCCAACATATGTATCTGTGGCTTCCGAGGCTCGGTCCACTCGAGACTCATCCCTTTACTATCGCGAGTCCGTATCAGACGTCGAATAAGTGTCATTGTAATGAGATCCAACTTGCAATCCGGGCTCAAAAAGGATTTTCGAGAAGAATACACAATTATGCATCCAAAATGCAGAGTCTCGATAAGACTGCTATTTTGACCGCATTTGTGTCTGGTCCTTACGGTGTACCTCCAGTATGTGCATTAATCTCCCCCTCAAAACCCTAATGATTCCGTACTAATTTTACCTGCAGAACTGGAGCTCTTATGAGACTATTCTTCTGATCTCCGCTTCCACTGGTGCATCTTACACCCTCCCTATCCTCGAATCCATCCTCCATAATCCCACACCAACCTGTGTGCAGCGAATTCAGTTCCTTCTTGTGGTCCGCGAGCGTAGCCACATCTACTTTTATACGAAACGATTAGGAAGCGCGCTTGCTCTTGCGGATAAGAAGGGTATTGAATTAATTGTGAAAATTGCCGTCACTGGCAACGATGGAGCATCAATGACTAGCTCAAAGGCCGAAGAAGGAATAGCAGGATATCAATCAAGTGAGGAGGCTAAAGAAGAAGATTCAAAGATGAAATCCATTGCATCTAGCTCATCATCAGAAGCAGGAGGATGCTGCTGCAATCCGCGATCCAGTGGGACGGCAAACGACGACGAACTCTCCATACGAAGCTCCAAACGTCAATCATATAACGATGAGAAGAATTCGGATAAAATAGAATCCTTCGTCACCACCCAACAAATATCTCGCGTCTCTGGAGATTCTCCTCAACCTGGTGGTGGTTGTTGCTGTGCCAAAAAACCGGAGGCGAAATCAAGCGAGAAATCAAGGAGGGGAGTGAGAGATATAATATATTTGAATGGAAGACCAGATATTAGTCAATTCATCAGAGGGCCAATAGAAATCACAGGAGGAGAAACTGCCATAACAGTCTGTGGAGGAAAGAGTTTGGTGGCTAAGGTTAGGAATTCAACAGCCAAGTTGAGCGATGAGAGAGCGGTGCATAAAGGAACGGGGGCGAATGGAATTTTCTTGCATGTGGAAGAGTATTGTTTTTGAGCGAATTTAGATATCCAACACCTATATATTGATATTTTCACCATTCTTGATCGAAGCCTTTCGACCTCCACTTTCTCCTGCTGGGCGACGCAGCTCGGCTCGAGGGCTTCTTTTCTTTGTGGTACCAATCCGTCACAACACCCCTAGTAGATGCTTCTGCCTCTAACGTACACTCAAAACTAGACTTTCACCGCTACGCCTGCGAATTATGGTGTCTCACTATCACGTGATTGTCATCTTCTGCTCACTTTTTCCTATCGAGTCTAGAGCTTGTCCTACCCCAAGATCCACTATGTCAGCGTGCTGCTGGTGATTTTTCTGTCACATTTCAAAGGACACAAATTCCAAGTAAACTGTCAACCATTATTCACCATACGAATAATACTGGAGAGAGAGATCTGTGCAATATACGACTCATAATGTCCAGGGGGTAAGCTGAGCTCTGAGGAACCATTTGACGTAAGATCTTACAATGAGTCTAAATGAGTATGATGGCGCGCCAATCCCTGGCTGCACATCACAAAATGATTTGTTCATGCGCCAATCCCTGGCTACACATCACAAAATGATTTGTTCATGCAAGGTAACATTCCTTTCTTCCTTCGGTGAGAACACAAAACCCGGTGCCGGTTTACCAGTATCCCACGAATAAAATGGGATGGATTACTTGGCGCCAACCTCACTTGATTTATAAACGTATACAACGTCTTCCAATATCATCTGTTAGTAAATCATATTGCGCGACTGTTTGTCGGCTTCCTAGAGATATCATACCACAAGGATTGTATGATATGAATGCACACCAAAATGTCAACCACACCTAGCGATCATATTCCGCTGTCTAGAAACCATCTCTGGGGCCCAGAACGGAGGCGTCTCTCTGCGCATCTTATTCAGAAGGCTCTCGATGCACTGCCAGGCTCTCGTTCTTCGGAACACTTACCAAGCAAACCATACGAGACGATCAAGAGACCGTATGAGCAACATAGGTATACGGGAAAGGCGAGTAAATCTTACGTGCCTCCAGCGCCTGTTAGTGAGAGAACGAAGAGAAAGGAGAGACCGCTGACACCGAGCGAGGGTTATGGATTGGGGGTTTTTGGGATGGGATTTGAGGTTGGTGGGGGTGAAGTGGAGCATGTGGAGAGAGAATTCTTTGGTCAAGGAGGAAGTACATTCTTTGGTTTGTTGCCATCGGAGGTGAGAATGGTGATTTATAAGTGGGTACTTGGAGGGAAGGTACTGCATATCGTAAGATGGAAGAATAAGTTGGGTCATATCGTTTGTGAATGTGATAGAAGAGACTCGGATGTAGGGACGAGGGAGGAGGATGCGTGTATCGTTGCGGGGTGTAGGGGCGTGAAAATACAGGGCGGGAGTGGGGTGTATGAGAGAGTTGGGGAGGGGAGCGGAAGTTTGCTTCAGTTGCTACAGGTTTGTAGACGAATGTATGTTTATATTCTATATTCATCTCGCATTTGCCTTATATCTTTCATTTCCATCTCTTCTCTTCTCTTACTTCGATCAAATATCTGAATGGCAATGAAAGATTGGGGCAAAACCTAAAGCTAACAAACATAGCTACTCCGAGGCAATCTCTCTTCTCTACTCGACCAACACCTTCAATTTCGACAGCATGGAATCTTTCATCTCTTTCAGTAACGAGATTCTTCCCCGTCGCTTTGATTCCATTACCTCAGTGACCCTCGATTTCTCCTTTGATACATCATCCCGTAAGCAAGATCGATTCTTTGATTTTGCACTTTCTTATCTCTTCAAATACCAGCCTTCCAGACCCCTTTCCTTCTCACCCCATCATCATCCCGAATTTCCCTCCTCCCCGCTCTACCCTTACATCTGTTCATTCTCAACGGCTCACTAACCTTCCCACCCATACAGTATATAACGAATCCTCCTCTAACGACGTGCCCCGTTGGGAACGTACATGGATGATACTCGGGTCCATGAAATCGCTTAAAAGTCTCAAAGCAACAATCATCTGGCCTAGAACAATACCAGCTTGGAGTCACGAACTGAGGTTATTGGAACCCTTGAATATGGTAGGGATACTAGGCAAGGATGGCAAGGGTGGTAAGGGTGAAGGTAAAGATGGTGAGCGTAGGCCTGAGAATAAGGATGCGTTTGAGGTGAGACTGAGGGAGTTGACGAAGGAGGCAAGGGGGAGAGGGAAGGCGAGGGCTTATGAGGTGGGAAAGGGGTTTGTGGTTGGGTAGGTTTTCCATGTTTTTTAGTAGACGATTACTGACTACGATGGTGTAGGAAGGCGAAGATTGTACCGGCAGCGGGGTTTGATGAGATCACCGAAGAGGACTTGCCGTTTAAGGTTGTCAGGATGAAGTTGTAAGAGCAGAGAATTCAATGTAGAAGGTGTAAACTCGCAACATCTACTATGGGGTAAAAGTGACGCAAAACAAGTGAATGGACTTCTTGCAGCTATGATTCTGGTTTGTATATTTTCTTGGCGCTTGACGAGGACCTTAATGATTGAGACCATGGTCAACTTGGAGACTTGAGATTGAGTCAAAAGTCATTACATGTTCACCCTTTCTAAATCTGGGTACATCACATCTTTGAATATTTGGGGTGATATAAAGTGCAGGAAAACAATCAACAAGACTACCTAGGGCGCAGCAGTGGAGTTCAACGAATTCAAATTGGCAATTGTATCAGAGGCTTCTGACTCTTAGAATTCACTTCTATTTACCTCAACCTTGAGCTTCAGCTGACCAATTAAAAAATTCAGATGGAGGAGATAGTGAATGTGAAATGATGCCACGATAACAGAGATTTCGGGGCAATTTTCACGCGTAAATATTACCTATATGATATTCCCATCAACAAACCTCCCACAACAACCTTTTTCCCAAAACCCTACAACACAAAAATCCAAGATCGATTGATTAAATTTTTTGGAATTCTTTCTCTTTCCTTTGGGAAGCGGATTTCTTCCTTCTTCTTTTGATTAATACATCATTCCATCATTCCATCATTCTGGCTTTGCAATTTCCAATTTCTGAGGCGCTCTTTCCCAGAACAACGAGAAGCGCACACACTTTTCAGTGGCTTCTGCTATTACTTCAATTCAGTTTCTCCCACCTGTTCTTTCCTCTTTCTTTTTCAAGATGGACGAATCCAGAAAACTCAAACCCACAGTGGAAAACACTAACCCATACCTATGGGAGATGCAACTTCTCACTCAAGAATTTAATGAGCGCGAAGCAAATTCCAGAGGCAGTCTCAATGACTTAGCAGATCAAGCAAGTCTACAACAACACAATGTCGCTGTCGCAAAATTGGAAGATCGAAAGCGTCGTGCTAAGGCGACTGTTGATGCAGATCGGAGTTTGGAAATCGATATCATCAACAAGAAATATGGGGAAAAGTCGCAAGCACTCGAGGCAGATTATACCAAGAAACGAGAAGATCTGGAGATGAAATTGTTCAAGAAGAGCGGTCATTCTTATAAGAGACTTCAAGAACTGCATGCTAAGAATCTTTTGCAAATTCAAGAGTTCGAAGAAAAAGCAAAGGATATCTTGCAGCGAATGTCGAAGAGCTTGAAAGAAGAAAATGCCATTTCTACAATGGGTTCTAATCTTGCAATCTCTGTCACAGCCACTGGCGCCATCGTCGATACCCCACCTACCAGTTCCGCTGGTGAGTCGACGATGCCCGTGAGTCGAACTGAAAGAGTGATTAAGGATGAATATCTTATGGCTAGCCCAGATGACGATCAATCACTTTTCGTAGATTCTCCAGAGTTTGAACCCAGAGTTCCTCCACCGATGGAAGCTTCATTGGATTCTCATCCTCTGACTGCAAGCCTTGGGTTCAGACCATCTCCAAATGATGATCACTCGATTAAGCATCAAAAGACTAAGGAATTGCCATCTACCTCGATCAAGAGGGAATCATCTCCTTCAATGAATGATGCATCCTATGCTCAAGACCTTTTGAGCATTCATGCTCATCAGTCCTACTTCCCCTCTACGACGACCGCAGGCCGATATTGTAACCCTGGCAAGGAAAACGAAACAATCCTTCATAATGGTTCTATGTCACCAATTTCAGTTTCTACTAGACTTCAACCGGCTCACGCGCAGCAAACTTTGGTCAATAGCCCCACATTGAACGTTTCCAGCGGCCTTCCTGCTTCTGCACAATTCGCACGTCGAGGTTACTCATCGTCACAAATCAGTAGACCTCTCATCAGCGCTCCCAGAAAGACATTTTCGAACGCTGGACTCACCGACAATGCCTCGAGCATTGGAGAGAAACAATGCAACGATTATCGCCAAGGCCAAACGATCACTCCCTTAAAGCGCAAGGCTTCCGGCGTTAATTTGAGCGATCTTTACGATGATATGGAGACCTCGAAGGCTGGAGCCCCGACTCAAATTCAGCAAAAGTCTGAGGAAGTATCTAGAGTTCGAGAAGTACGCCGAAGCGCAACCAATGCTTCAAGTGCTAGTGGTGCGGGTAGGAACTGGATTGGCCAAACCCCCCAATTCGGTCGGCAAGAGGCTATCAAGGAGGAGCCAACTTCAGCAGTGACCAGTGTATCTCGATATATGAATCCAGAGCCAGCACACATGCCAAGTCCTGTCCATCAACCTAGTAACGTAGAGGCAATGCAATCAAGGGTCTTGACTCCAAGACATAGTAATGTAGGCTCATCGCGAAGAACGACCACTGGCACTGGATCCTTCAGCTCAGAGCCATCTCGACCGTTAGCTGCTACCCACAAGCTTAGCGTTGCAGAGGCTCGACTATCCTTTGGCTCTATTCCTATCGAGTATATCTCTTATGATGCTGGCACCCCCTCCCGCTCCTTCCCTGTTACCTGGTCTGGCACGAAAGGTAGTCACAACTATAGGCAGCAAGTCAGTCATAACTTTAGGCTACAAGTGATGCTCACGAAAAACAAGGTCTTGCACCCCTATGATGGCGCTGATGACAAATCCTCACAGTATCCCAAATTGGTAGTCGATGATTCTTGGGTTCTTGGTGGCTTCTATCACAAAGAGTCGGGCAACTACAGAATCGAGATTTATAGGCCGAGATCGAAGAGGGAGTATAGGGCGGAATTTGAGGAAGGTCATGACCGTGTCGAGACCCAAAGCGCGAGGTTGAGAATTGAATTTGCCGAGGAAGTAGCACTTAATCACTTCCTTCAGTGGTATGAAAAGATGCACCCTAACGCTGAAATTAATCCTGAGTATGTCTCTCATGAAACCGTTGATTGTTCTTTCCTCGCGACCTCCAGCTAATTTATCTTCCTAGTGATCGCCTTGGCTCCCTCGGTGATTTCCATGACGAGAGCGGTAAATCCGACCCGGTATTGAGAGAAAGTGAGCACACATCCATTGGATTGGTTCTGATATTCAAGATAAGAAACTAATGCCACCACAGAGATCGAGAAGAGAGCTCAAAGATTCGCACTTGTCGCACCTGTTGCGGTCATGACTTCGGTTTGATCGATCGATTTTATTGATTTTCTCCTGGCAGAGATACAATAATACAACAAAAGCCGCCAAGAGAAATTTGTACGATTGTAATGAAGTCAATGTCTGACTAGCTAACATAGTATCTTCTGAGAGAATTTTACCTTGTGTATCACCAAGCGGAAGCACACCATCGACAAAAACACACACCCAAAAAAACTCCAAAAATCCAAAAACCCGAAGAGAAAAAAAACTTGACGAATAACGAATACCTGATACCTACGAATGACGAACATTACGAGCTTACGATGTATGAACGTAGAAAATGACATTCAAGGTAACGCAGCGGAGCATTTTGTAAGACTACATACAAGAGAAATATTGGGAGCATGACGGAGATTTGTCCTCAATATCTATCACGATGTTGGATACCGATTTTGGCCTGGAGAACAAAAAGTTGCAATATTCATGCAGAGGGCGTTTTGATAACAATCATCTCGCACTGGCAGAAACGTTGCTACTTCGGAGGGCTGGAAAAAGTTGATAACGAGTTGCAGAAAATGGTTGAAAACGAGAAGAAGAAAAAAAAGGAGAGGTAAAGAGAGAATAGTTCAGTCAGAGTAGATGTAATTTTTTTTTTTACACCTTTGTCTTTTGACAACTTTGACGTTGACATGAGGTCAAAGTATTGCTATGTGATGTCCACTATTCGCCCTTGTCCCGAGATATGTACACTTGAATTTGCAGATTGACATTCCCACATATAGTTTCGTCTCTGGTTGACCTCGGACGGGCAGGCAGAATGTTCTTTTCATTCTACTAGAATGGTATGTTTTTTGTGACCAGTGTCACAAGGCGCGTCTATTTTCATTGATGTGGACCAATAATCTAGATTTTAGGATTCACGAGGGAAGCAAAACCCCCTTTCTCATTTTGGATTTCTTTCAATTCCTCCTCAACTCCCTCAAATGCTGGTATATCTATGTCTAAGAACTATCAACTCCAAATTTACAATTTACAAAAAACAGTTCCCACCTCTCCACCTCCATTCTGCACTAAAGTACTTCTCTCTCTAACCCAAGCATTTAATCCCCTCCTTCCATTCTCAACACCTACTCCGCTCATTTTCCAACCTCCTACACTCATCTCCGCGGGACTCTCTCCCCATGAATTGATCCATGTGATACCAGCTTCAATCTGACCGATCACTTCATGACATTCATTTATATTCTTGCCGAAGACGCCAGCTGCCAATCCTAATTTTGTGTCATTGGCGCGACGGATAACTTCTTCTGTGGTGGAATATGGGAGGATGCAAAGGACTGGACCGAAGATTTCTTCGCGGGTGATGAGCATGTCATCTGTACAATCTGTGAAGACTGTAGGACGAACCCAGAAGCCTGATTCATGGCCACTTGGGATATTGGTTGGCTTTTCGGGACCACCGTAGAGGAGTTTTGCTTTATCATTTTCAATTCCGTGTTGGATATAGTTGAGAACTTTCTTGTAATGGATTTCTGAGACGAGAGGACCAAAATTACTGTTGGCATCCATTGGTTCCAAAGCTCTAATGTATTCCATCTTTTCGATAAGACGTTTCTCGAATGCCGATTTCATACTTTCGTGTACGAAAACTCGGGTTCCATTTGTGCAGACTTGACCGGTGGAATAGAAGTTGGCCATCATGGCTCCATCGACAGCATTCTCAAGGTCGGTATCTGGGAGGATAATGAGAGGACTTTTACCGCCCAACTCCATGGTAACATATTTCATGCCGCCAGCCGCTGAAGCAGCAACCTTTTGTCCAGTTGAAACTTGACCTGTGAAACTTACTTTGGCAATACCTGGATGGGTGGTCAAATATCCTCCTACTGATCCATCTCCATGTACGATGTTGAAGACTCCCGGTGGTAATCCGGCTTCTGCATAAATTTGTGCGAGGATTTGGCCATGTAATGGGGTTACTTCAGATGGTTTATAGACCATACAGTTGCCAGCTGCTAAGCAAGGTGCAGATTTCCACAGAGCGATTTGAATTGGATAGTTCCAAGCTCCAATGCCGGCACATACGCCCAAAGCTTCCTTTTTGGTATATATCCATGCATCTGGTCTTAATTGTGTAGTTTCGCCATTCATTCCCCCACTCGCGACTAAGCTTGCAAAGTATTCTAGCACGTCTGCTCCAGTAACGACATCGACTGCGCTGGTTTCTGAATAAGCTTTGCCTGTATCGTGTGTTTCCACCTTCGCAATTTCATCGTTTCGTTCGCGAAGTATTTGAACGGCTTTGAGAAGGATTCGGGAGCGGACAATTGGTGGTGTCTGAGACCATGATGGGAATGCTTTGCGTGCCGAAGCTATCGCGGAATCAATATCTGATGGAGAAGCCTTTTGTACCTGTGCTAAAGGTTTTCCTGTTGCGGGGTTGACTGTTGTGAATGTTTCTTTAGAAGTTGCTTGTTGGACTTTGCCATCATAGTAAAGCTGTTGTTCTGCGTATGTAGACATTTTGAGAATAAGTTTTGATAATCAATCGTTTGCTGATACTCAATGACTTTCAATGCTCACTCACTTCTTTCACCAATGAAAACCTTAGGATGATGCTATACAATGAGGTAAAGAAGGGAATGGGTCTCGAAGCAAATAATTTCCTTAGTGGGGCAAAAGGAAAGCGCACACCCTTGATACCGGTATTCTTCGGTAGCTAAGAAGTAAATTCCTGGAATGGACTCGATTCAAACCTTTACACCAATACCAATTGGTAATCGTGGCCAGTGTGGAGTGGGAAAAAATGGATACGACGAAAAGTATCCAAGATGGAAATTGTCAAACAAGGCGGAATGTCGGACCAGAAAGAGAATCGTTTGTCAGATACCGAGCGGAATACTGGATACGGGAAATCGCCTTCTTCTCGGGGGATTGCAGATGCAGATGAGGCGATTATATGTTATTGATGACCAGCCACCTTTACTCCGTACTCCGTAGATAGATCTAGATAGCGGGAGGGCTTGTGAATCTTCGGAGATGATGATAAGGAGAAGCAAGATCGTAAGTTTAATGGCATTGATTGATATGGATGATAAGTCAAGGGGGAATACGATATCAATTGGCATCGATATCGATAAGACAAGACGAGGGGGTTACGGTAGCTAGTGTATCGTATAGAGAGTGAAAGACTTTACCTGCAAGTGAGTTAGGTAGATGGTGGATGGTTGAAGGTTTGACGGCTTGAAGTCAGATAAAAAGATTATGTACGATGGATGTATGTAGGGAAAAACTCACTTCATTTGGTAATGACGACGATCGACAAGGATGAAAGCAACGGCTTGGCATTTTACATTAACTTAGATTGTAACAAATGGGTGTCAATATAAGTCATTATTGGTCAACATGTTTCAGTCCCCCAGAAAAGCTGGCCAGATCTAAGCCTCATTTGGTCTCACACATAATACATCAAACAACATCAGAGCACCAGGGAAAACTTTTCCTTTGAACATTATTCATTCATTCATTCATTCATTCATTCATCTGTCCATTCATTCGTCCATTCATTGACTTCCATCAGACATCAGACATCAGACATCAGACAGCATATACATCAGACCTCAGATTAGACGTTTCTTTGTGCAGTATGTGTTTTGATTGTGTGAGATGGTTCGGGTTGGTATAATAGGTATCTGCTATAACACTCTGGTAAGAGTATCTAAGTGATGATTAATGATAACCTTATATGATTTCCTAAACGGCGAGAAAAAGCATCGAACACCTCCTTCAACTGATCGACTGACTGACTGACTTTTGCTCTCTGTATGTACGATTACTGCGACATGATTCATTCATTCTCTGCTTGACCAAAAAGTCAATTTTACTACTGCTATTCAATTAGTCTAACATCTTGGGTTATTACTGGATTGATGATCCTTGATAACTTGGTAAAACTACCAGGTACTTCGTAAAGGACTTCTTAAACATTCACTAGGAAGGAAGTTAGTTTCCTAAGGCTAGATAGATACCTTTTTCTCTCTCCATTTTTTAACTAATTTTTTCTTCTCCATTCTCTCTCACTAATAAATTCCATCTTGATTCGTCTTCACCGTCATTTCACAAGTCAAACTATCCAAAGGACCACGCGCCCTCTTTCCCTACTTGGCAATTTTTATCTATCATTTTATATCTTTGCATACCTGGCAGGCAATAGTTAACCTCAGGGGGTCCCTCTTCGATCGTCCATATTCTCTTACGATACCGCCTTATACGATTGTACCGAATAACCTCGATTTGGAATCCACTTCCAGCCCCTCCTTGACTAGGATATCATCAATCTCAATCCCTAGATAGAAATCACCTGAGGGCGACCTTCTACACGTTACTATTACAAATACGTTCATCGTTTCTTATTTAGATCTTTTTCTTCTGAATAGAATAGAATCCTTTCCTTTTGGATATTCAAAACTTATCAGACCAAGTATTCAAGATGACTACCGATCTTCTATCGCCATCTCAAGTCAATGACTTTGACTATGTCATTGTTGGAGGTGGAACAGCAGGATGTGTTATTGCTAGCAGACTTTCCGAATACTTACCAAATAAGAAGATTCTTATGATTGAGGGTGGTCCAAGTGATTTCAATAATGACAAAGTATTGAAACTCAAAGAATGGCTTACATTACTTGGTGGAGAATTGGATTATGACTACGGAACTACGGAACAACCAAATGGTGATTATGATTCTTCTCGGAACAATGGAAGTTGATGCTGACAGAATGTAGGAAATTCATACATTAGACACTCACGTGCGAAAGTTCTTGGAGGTTGCTCTTCTCACAACACACTGATATCATTCCGTCCATTCGAGTATGATTGTCAAATTTGGGAGAGTTTGGGATGTAAAGGATGGGGATTCAAGACCATGATGCGTCTCATTGATAACCTCCGCAACCAAACTAACCCTGTTCATCCACGACACAGAAATCAAATTTGTAAGGATTGGGTCCAATCTTGCTCTACTGCCATGGACATTCCTATCATCCATG